TTTTGAGGCGCTGATACGAGTAGTCGCTAGCTGATGAACATTATAAAACCAGAGATCGATGAGGTCAATTTAATCTTCTTATATCATTAGGATAGCAATATATCTCTCATCGGATAGTGATTTTAACGTGATAGCATTAATGTTGTTGTTCTGTGATCATTACCTCAATGTATTAGAATACCGCTCTGGTATGAAGATTTAAGACAAATATGTGAATTGTGATAAATCAAAACAGTGACAATATTGCGATCGTTTCACGACTGTAAAGCGCACAAAAATTTCGACGGTAAGCAGCCTAGAATAGGAGATCCGTTGTTTCCATGTGCAAAATCAATTGACAATCAGATATTTCATGTATACTGTTGTTGAACACAACCAGTAAAAAAACAAGTTATTTGTTTGAAAAGACATTGACGATCCAATGCCATTACTCTGAACCTCATACAATCCGTTTTGATTCAGGACGCAATGCATAATACGAATGATCAGAGCACGAAAACATTACCTTTCGTATACAATTCACTCTTACATTGATGCACAATTGTTTACTGCGTAAATATGACATTCGAATACAATGTCTAAGTATGCATAGAAAGTTTTTAAATTCAGAAAAGACTAGAAATGATAGCCCTCTAATTAAATTAAAATGACTTTTGAAATTATAGCAGAATGGAGAATCAATAGGCAAAAACGATGTTGATCTATGAGAGCGCGACTGTAGGTGGATCGCTGAGCAAGAGCACGTTATGAGAAATACTTTGAAAGTAAAACAGATTTTGATTATCTCAACTCTGCTATCCATTAAACATGTTTGTGTAGAATATAAATCGATGCATCATTCATTGCTAAATGAGTGATGCATTTCAATAGCTGATTTGTTAACGACTTGTTAAATTTGAACATTTCATTTGCATAAATAACATTATCGATTTCCCCGCATCTTCATACGTGTTATACGACTAGAACAGACATATTCAATGTCATATGCTCGTATTGATTGTTCAATTGCTTTTTCAGTTGCTGTTAGCTGCAAACGAAAGCTATAATAGGTTTATACGCAGAGAAGATTCGCAAATCCAGTTGTTCACATTCAAAAACGACCCATTCGCATGTGCTAGCACACATAATAAAACTCGCGGCTGATTCGACAATAGAATAAACATCAGTGATGTAACACGAGATAACATTTCAATAAGAAACTCTCAAAATAATTCGCTGAATCGAACAGCAATCATTTCAATAACTATAAACAAGTGATGTTTTCCTTGAGAGTTTATAAGCGGAATCGATTCGTTGAAGGATTGACGGTGAGAATATTGATTCGCCTCTGCCCAACTGATTAAATATATCACGATCATCGAAATTATCCGCCTTAAACAGTCGAAAATTTTCTTCGCATTCATAAGCAAATCCGTTGTCGAAAGATGCTAATTACTCTCACTGTCACGCCATGTGTTGTAGTCTAATAGTAAGTAAGCTTGATCGTTTGCGAAACAACAAAACAGTCTGAGGGTAATTGTTTACGAAACCGAGTTCAAAAACGTCAAATTAGGCATACAATTAAAACACTTACACTGAGGTTATACCTCCTCTTGAATTTCACATAGTAGATATTGATAATCGCACATATACAATGCTTTTTTAATCGCGTAAAACCCAAATCACTTGCGAGTATCAGCAAATCAACAAATAGTTTCAAATTATCTGCATGCTGAAATGCAGTAAAGTCATAGTAACATTTGAGGAAGTCTTCCGAAACCGTCGAGAAATATCATCGAGCGTGAGACCAATTTTTTTTGGTTTATACTGTTTTGTTCCCTTCTCATACAGATAACCAACGAAATTGCGCATACCCATTCAACAAATTTGTTTATCCACTTCGAAAAAATTTTCCAAGAGCATGCCACGTGATATGTTGATATACTGATTGCAGAAAGAAAGTAGTTTAAAGGAAAACGTTAAGCTCATGACTGACATTGAATAAATATGCACAAAGTTGCGTTTGCAGCTGATTTTTGAGTTCTTCCAAATATCCGAATTGAAAATATCGTCCAAAGGTGATCAATTGACGTACAAACGAACAATCCGCTTGTTTTGTATCTAGCGAAAATACACCAACATATATGAACTTCAATACCTGAAAATTTTCAATGATCTATCTGGTGTAAAACTAACACCAACTTCGAGACGTGTGGAAAGCTTTCGATGTTAACTTAAAGTGGAATGCCGAAGTACGAGGCTTTCGAGAACGTTTTCGTTGTTTGAGATAAAGAAGACAGGAATGTTGGATGGCTGACCTGTTCAACAGCTGCACGAGTAAATTCTAAGTGACATTCAGATGACGGTTGAGTTTCGCTGGAAAACTGTTTTCGAAAACGTGGTGATGCAACGAATAGCAGATGTTTCGACGTTTTCAGTTCACCGTCCATACACAGCAGTTTGTAATCACTGGAACTGTTCGAATTTCCTGTCTTCTCATATCGAGAAAACACAAAATGTTTCTTGAAATTAGACTATTTTCCTGGAGTGTTAGGAATTCGTTGGTATAACATTGCGGTATAAAGTATTTTGCGGATGCGAAATCCATGACGAAGAATAACGGAATAGTGAATGGGGAACAAAAGTGATCCATTAAAATGACCATTTTCTTCAAGTATTGACGCAAAAAATAAGTTCACCAGAAACTAACGTTAACGATTTGTAATAAGAGATTAATGAGGGAGCAAGCAAGTTAACGCAAAAATTAGCGTCGTTGATAGTGGATCTACGATCACGCGCTAAGTAACTCGATCAAATTAGTGTTTAATCTGCTGGAGATGCTTTGTGCATTGAATGTATAGCCGGATAAATGTCATTATGGTGATAGATGTGCTTTGGAATTATTGAAAGTTTGAACGTGCAACTTGAAAATTCACCAGTTCATCGTTTCGAGTGCTTTCGATCGAAAATCATTCAGACTGATCGGATCCGCCAATTTACAACAACAATTACAGCGATTACTGAAGTCCGTTTCGAATTCTTGCCTTGCGAAACGCATTCCAATTGTGATGTGCACACGTTTACCTGTGTTCAAATGACGCATTAAAATCGTTGGCGTCATCCACTACCACAAGCTATGAGATATAGATCTGCGTTACACTTACTTTTAGTCATTTCCATGCGATTAGTGCAAATCAGAATAATCATCTGAATGGAATACTTCATCAAAATACGAATTGATCGTGAGATCGACAGTGTTTACAAGATTCCTTCGAATGCAATCCTCGAATGAAGTGCTATGATAGCAGTAATGCTCAAAAGAAATCGCTAGCTCACCCAAATAATTTCTACTTCTGAATATTCGGTCGAGTTGATCGGCGAACTTCGTTTGGGTTGGCACACGATAGGTTATCCGTTGTGAATTTTGCTCAACGTTCTTTCTTGCGTCCACTTCGATCACCGATGAGTCTGACACTAAAAAACGCCCGTGAAGGAATTCATTTGCCAGTAGTGATGGTCGATTTTTAAAGAAAAGTGTTACTCATTCATTTTAAACGACTGAAGAAAAAATTTTTGAGGTGCTCATTGTTCATGAATTCCGTAAGAGTTGCTCGCCAAATGCTGACGACAAAAGCGTAATTGTGGTTGCTCACACTCGGGAGTATGAGCCGTCCTCTGCTTAGTCTCATATTTTGTTGCTCACACGTTCATGAGTCACTCATCACCACTCTACCACACTAACAGTGAGTTTACCGTAAATATTTCCACTCAAACAAAATTTCTGTAGTCTCATGGGATCATTGTTTGGATCAAAATTAAGTCCGCCGAATCGGCGCCATTCTACATCATTTTATAATTACCATTTGCATGCTCAGGTGTAACGCCAAAATCGTCGAAATGCGTCGAGAATTGGTCGTATTCACAAATTTTCAAAGTCAGTCTACACCGATCTACCAGAGGATGTTGCCGTCCTTGAGGACGAATTGGTTCAATGACCATTTCGACTGAATATTCACCGACATTACCCACCGAGAAGTCTCGATATATTCGTGCACACCTTCAAATATCACGTGCACACCTTCAATATAAAATAATGCAAAAATTGTTCAGCGATCGTAAACATCCTCGAAAACTCTCATTACGTCGGCAAACGATTCACTGTTCTTCTGAATTTGCTAGTGAAATTTGAGAATCGACAATGACAATTCGTTCATAGCATTTCTCTTATGAATGCTTCGGTCATACTTTGCATTCATGACACCTTTACCTGCTCGAAGATATTTTAAGACTAACGGTTTCGTATTGAATCACTTATCCAGTGAATGAGCAATTATAAAACTGAATGTACTATATACGATTGCAAAATCTTCAGATGCGTTGTTATTATTACGATTATTATCAATCATCATTGTTGAGTGTTATTAAGAAACACCTAACCATTCATAAATGTCGTATCGATAGGAAGTGGCGAATGAAATTGCCTCACTGAACGCTAAATTATTGGTGAAAAGTGTGATATTCCAACGAACAACGAATAGTAAATGAGATGGTTGTCGTTTTTCGTCGAAATTTATCGCCGAACTTCCATCGTCACCGCTTTTCAACAGATCCAACAACGACATAACTCTCCGAATTTTACGAAACGACCGCACCTCATTTAATATCAACTCTGATACATCATTCGAAATGCGCAGCGAATTCTTTACGGAACGAAATTTTGCATTCGATAAAATAATGCAAAAATTGTTCAGCGATCGTAAATATCCTCGAAAACTCTCATTACGTCGGCAAACTCTTCTGAATTTGCTAGTGAAATTTGAGAATCGACAATGACAATTCATTCTATTAAATTCAGATTTATTGTCAGCCATCATTTGAATTTTTTTGCACAATGAGAGAAATGAATAATATCACAGGTTTATCATCATGATATTTTTTCAACATATACCATTTCAACAATTGATATGAATAAGAATCCATCGGTTATGAAACTAAAAAGAGATTTTGGTCTTTCGATATCACACCAATAGAGTAAACCTCAAAGTTGGAATAGGAACTTATGAACAAATAGTGAGATAATGCAACATTGCGCTCACGTTTTCAAAATGATTCTTCCAAAATGGACACCCACTACACTTTGTTTCTACTGAATTCATACGAGTTTAACAACTCATGAACTCGTGAAAAAGTTTCAACCGTTTCAATATACAGTACTATTCCCACGAGCTAAATAATAGATTGATTGAAACGCTGTCAGGAATGAAACGGATAATATCACAAAAGAGCACAATGATGCTTTAAAGTCTTATGGATTCCATCTTTTAGAACCATCGCCCTTAAACGCACAATAAATATAATCAGATCAAACAACACAGAGGAATGGAAAGAGATCAAGTTATGGACTTCCATTATATACACACATAAATAACATTACTACAATAATACTCGAAAGTGTATCATCGCAAACAAAAATGTCGACAGAGGACAGCCAGTCACCGATTCCAAATGGAGATCGACCAATCAGACTGAAGATGTTTTTGGAATTGAATCTGGCGATGTGAGGTTCGTTGTTGTCGGCGTTGATTGCGGTGATGAGAACTTACTTCTGAAATCAAATATCCACTTATTCAATACATTTTCCAATCACTTTTAACATTTCGAAAGCAAAGAGAAGCAAAACTTTGCTCATGTGATAAATCAAAGATGTAGAATCAAAACCAACCCAGGTAATAATTCAGAACTTTCTTTCTCCAATCGCTTAATTTTTGACTTCAAACTCAACAGTTTAGATCGAGTATCTTTCAGTTCGCGACCTTGTAATGTTCTGAAAACCTTCTACAAATAATCCAACAGTGTTCCTGCTTGAATTTTATAAACAACAATGAATATCATCTTGATCAGGTTGTGGATTTCGAAAACATTCAATATATATTATTGGCCGAACAATCAAATTTCGTTTCCGTTACTAATCACTATCGATTCTTAAAAACTTTTGAAGTGTACACAGTTTGGCTAAATCGTTCATAGTGCAATTTGATTGATGGAAAGATGCGAATTTCGAATTGTGGATAAAATGATGAAGAGAACGCTCGAATGAAATAAACACACCAATGTGTGATAACCTACAATTTGGTTTCCAAATCAAACACCGTCTCTTTGTGCAATTGCGCGTTCGAATTCGCTTTGATAGCGTTCTCATTTGACTCAATCAATTCCGCATTCTTCTGTCCAAGCATCTCTTCTAGCTCATCGAGTGCATTCTGAAGTGTTTTATTCGACTCGCGTTCCACATCCAAATGATCGTTCGCATTTTTCAGTTCTGTTTCTAACTACAACAACCATCTCACATCACATTTGAAGGTTCCAAATGAGAAGTCTTACTCGAATCGCATCATTACTTCACTATTATATTCATTATCTGACATAATCTCAACTCCAGTGACGCGGAAAAATTTCAATATTTATTGAGAATCATACAAATCGTTGCGGAAAATCAAAAAGCACATTACTGGTGCCGAAAAATTTCGCGAATATATAATTTTAACGCTGATCTGTAGGTACTTCACATATTGCGGAAAGGGCAATGGTGATAGATTGAAGCTAACAATCATGTTTAGAAAGGAGTCAATTTTCCACACTGATCTCTGACCATTCCAGTGCAAATGGAAAATTTTTAGGGGTGACGTAAAATTCAAATTGTGACTGTAAATGAACTAATAAAGAATGATGGATAAAGATAACCTTCATGAGATTCACTTCCATAACATACAGTTGATTGTTCAAATCCATCAATTGCGCATCTTTCTCTGATATCTGCAGATAACACCAAATAATGAGCTGCGAGTGTAGTCTCACTATCAGATACACTCATAGATACAACTCGAAAATTTGAACGAATTGTAATCCAGCCCAGAAAAACTATCCACATCATTGAAATGAAAGGAAGTTGCCCTTTCATACCGTTCCAGTTCTACTCATCGCATAAGAATACTCCTATTTACAGAAACTTGACGGCTGATAACGAGTCTCATGTAGCCTCTTTCGACGTGGCTGGAAGCCTAATTTCAAACACTCATAAATTTTGATTTGTTCAGTAATATCAACGAACATAGTGCCTTAGAATAATCTTAAGAGGTACTGATCCCATGTGGAAATTATTA